GAAAGATTATGTTTCAAAGAAAACCAATCTTAATTTGAAACATTATTTTTAAAATTGCTTACAATAGTATATTATTTTTTATATAATTCCATATTTAAAACGATAGAAAACTTGTTAGTAGACGATTTATAAAGAAAAATTATTCCCTTTTNACGACGAAACGCTGTATTTGTTGTGTGTCTGAGAAGTATCTATATTAAAAATTAGACGATCCTTTAGTTGTTATTTTCCGGACACTTTTTTCCCGTGACTGTACATATAAGTACATTAGAGTGTTATTGTTATCGTTTTAAAATAACATGCGTAAGCTGGATTGCGTTTATACAAATAAAAATAGTGTTCTGAAAGAATGTTTGTACTTTGCGTACTGCAAATATTTATTATAACATATTATGAGATAATTTATGTAACCACACAGCGTAGATGCCATAAGGAAGTGCTGACAGACACAGGTCTGCCAGTAGAAAAGACGTGCCATTTCTATTATGAATATATTATTACAGTTTGATTTAGACTATTAAAGTGACATTATGAATTAAATATTAAATATTGTGAATAATATTTAGGAATTAACGTTTATTATATTACACTGGCACTAAATTTAAAATATATTTTCCGGAAATCAATTATAATAAAAAAAAATTACTCAGCAATTTTTTGTTTTGCGGACCATTTGGCGCCCCTTTGTGTGTAGCGCCCGGGGCATGATGCCCCCCTTGCCCACCCCTCGCTACGCTACTGAATCTATTTCATGTGATTCCTTTGCTGCATAGTAAAGAAAGATTATGTTTCAAAGAAAACCAATCTAAATTTGAAACATTATTTTTAAAATTGCTTACAATAGTATATTATTTTTATATAATTCCATATTTAAAACGATAGAAAACTTGTTAGTAGACGATTTATAAAGAAAAATTATTCCTTTTTCCAACAGTTTAAGAATTGAATTGAATTGAATGTGAGGTTCAGTGGCACAAGGTCCAAAAAAGGACATACTGCGTCAAACACACGGTTTTAAAAACAGATTAAAAGGTTAAGTAAAGCACACGTATAAAATCAGATAAGATAGTGAAAATTCTAAAACAATGTTGTTAAGTTACATACATTAAAATCAATAAAACTGCATGGTAAATTTACTAGAACACTAAATAGTATAAAACAATTATATACAACTTAAAATTCCAATAGCGCGTAAAAATGCAAAGATGATTGGATGGTGATTTTTATCTAACAAGTCTTTTATATATAAAATCGTGCTTCCAAAAAAGGTGAGGCAGGCGTTGTTGGTTAAAACATGGGCAAGCGATTAAAATATGATGAATTGAAAGTGAAACGTTACAAGTATCGCATCGAGGAGGCGGTTCTCCGAACAGCAATTGAAGATAAGTCAGTCGAGTATGTCCTATTCGTAGGTGGTTGAGCTTGACATCTGCTCCGCGCAATTGCAACACAGGCCAAGGCTCTAGCGTGGATTTAATTGTGCAGTTTGTTTTCAATTTGTAAATCCCAGTGTTGCTGCCACAAAGGCATAGTAAACTGTCGTATATAATTCTTCATGTCAGAAATGGGGACTGATAGTGTTAATGGAGTCGTAGCAGATCGGGCAGCAGAGTCAGCCATGTCATTACCTGAAATATCAACATGGCTGGGAATCCAACAAAATAAAATGTTAAAACCACTTTTGTGAAGACTAACTAACAGATGTTTAATGATACATAAAATAGGGTGAGCTTCGTTGTTTACATGATTATTTAGCTGACGTAAAACACTTAGGCTGTCAGAGTAAATGCAAAACTTTCGTGCGGTTAGTGACGAGATAAGTCGTAGAGCTATGAGAATGGCCACAGCTTCAGCAGTAAATACAGAACGTATGGCAGGTATGATATAACTGTATGTTCGATCAGCTATAATGATTCCACACCCAACATGCCCTGGAGATTTTGACCCATCCGTAAAAACAGAAACATATTGAGAATGCTCATGACGGTGAGAGATGAATAGCTGAATATACACGCTAGGAGATATACTGAATTTTCTGTATGAAGCAAATGGAGAATAAAAGTGATATGACGGAATAATCCAAGGTTTGTTAAGAAAGTGATCAGTTTATTGAGTTGGTGATTCACAAAAATTGAATGTCTGAATGACTGTACGCATACGAGCATTAAAAGGAGGTGTGTATGAGGGTCGCGCATCATATAATCGTCGTAAGCTTAGTGGAATAACCTCATGTCGAAAGTATAAGATTTAGATGACATATCACGAAAGTAAAATGTAAGACAGAGCTGCATACGTTGAAAATAGAGAGATGATAAATTACATATACTATATAAACTTCCGACTGGGGACGTTCGAAATGCGCCGCTACAGAATCGCATTGCAGTATGATGCACTGTATCTAACAGCTTCAAATTCGACGCAGTTGCTGTGCCATAGACTGCGCAAGCATAATCAATGCGTGATAATATCAACGCTTTGTAGATTCTGATTAGGGCGATGCGATCTGCACCCCAGAAAGTATTTGAGAGAACACGTAGGACATTTAAAGTTTTTTCACAACGTTTTCTAAGATAACGAATATGGGGCAGGAAAGTGAGTTTGCTGTCAAAAATTACGCCTATATATTTTGTCTCCGACTCAATAGGTATATTAACGTTATGAATGGAAATAACAGGATCATTGTGTAATCTGCGTAATCGACAAAAATGTATGCAAGAGCTTTTTGTGGGTGAAAGTGTTTAGATCGTCAACATAAAGTGAGCCAAATACATGAGGTGGTAGTATGTTCAAAATGAGTAATAAAATGTATGACACTTAAAACACTGCCTTGAGGAACGCCTTCGGCCTGAATGAAGAGGTCTGAAAACGTAGAACCCAATTTCACCCTAAAATATCGTTTCATCAGAAAGTTCTTCAGGAAGATGGGTAAATTACCACGAAGTCCCATATCATAGAGTGTCTTAAGAATTCCGTATCGCCATGTCCGATCGTAAGCCTTCTCAATATCAAAGAAGATAGAGACAAAATGGTTACGTCGGACATAGGCGTTACGAATTAGTGACTCTAAAGCAATAAGGTTATCAGTAGTGGACCTTCCTTTTCAAAAACGGTATATGCCGTTTGCCTTTTTTACTCTCGACCAAACTTGTTTGGGAGGTGTCATTGATGATATAGATGAGACATAGCGCTTCCATGATTCTCTTTGGCTACGGCGTCGGATCTTAAGAGCAAAAGCTTTAGCTCGTTTAAATGCTACAAGATTTGACGTGGAAGGTGAACGACGGAAATGGCTCCAAAATCGTTTCTGTTCCTTGTAAGCGGTAGAACACTCTGAATTCCACCAAGGCTTACGATGGCGAGGAGGAGTAGTTAAAGACTTTGGAATACTCTCTTCTGCAGCCTTTATGATTGCAGAAGTTACAGTATTCACTGCATCATTTACGTTGTTACATGTTACCACAGCATCAGTAATCTGAGCAAGTTGAGTAAATAAGTGCCAATTAGCGCGATGATGTATGAAAACTGATGGTTTAGGACTCATGGGAACATTATTAGAATATGAAATTATGAGTGGAAAATGATCACTATTGTGAAGATCATTACTCACAGAAAAGTTTATGAAAGGCAAGAGAGCTGGTGAACATAATGCTAAATCGATGGAGTGAAAGGTATGGGTCGGCATATGAAAGTAAGTCTCCTCGCCTTGGTTTAACAAACATAGATTATGGTCCTGTATAAGTTGCTCTATTTTACGTCCCCGATCATTGGAGACGGAGCTACCCCACAATTCCTTATGGCCATTAAAATCCCCGAGCAAAATAAAAGGTGAAGGTAATTGTATAATCAATGAATTTAGTTCTGTTTGGGAAACAGATGTATTAGGAGGTAGATAAAGTGAACAAACAGTGAAGAGTACATTAATGTGAATTTGAACAACAGTTGCTTGTAATGAAGTTGATAATAAATAATGAGTAGATGGTAATGCATTGCAGGTTAAAATTGCAACGCCGCCATGAGGATGACTTCCATCATCAAAATCATGTCGGGTGCAAGAGTAATTATGAAATTTAAAATTATGACATGACGTTAAATGAGTTTCCTGCAGAGCGAAACATGCAGGCTGATATTTATGAATAATATCCTTGATATCTGAAAGTTTATTTCTTATGCCACGACAATTCCAGGATATAAAATTAATAGACATTATGGAATGGATTGATATTTTTGTAATTTAACGCCAAGTATTTTAAGATCAGTCAAGTATGAATTCATCATCGGAAGGGTGAAGGGACAATTCTACGTCAAGATCCATCTTCTTCAGAGCACCAGAAGTGGATTGGTTGACGTACTGATTGTACTTAGGATCTTTCTTCTTCCGAGGTATGCCAGGTTTTTTACTTAGGGGTATTTCTGTTGATACGATCTGCTTGGAGAAAGGTGAAGTTTTTTCTGAGTTGTCAATTTTAGAAGTTTTTTTTAGGAGGAGGAGATTTTGTTCTGTTTGATGGTGCATTAAAGTTAAATTTCGATTTTTGAGCTGTATTTTTAACGTGATGAGATGTAGAAGGGAGAGGTGGAAGATCCGTTTGCGTACTGACAGAGCATTTGATTACCTTTATAGCCGCAGAATAGGACACGCCTGGGCGAGGGGTTCGTGCGGTTACTATTCGGCGTGTCTCATTGAAAGTCAGATTCTGTAAAACTTTGACGCACTGAATCTCCTTTTCCTGTGACCATTTTGTACAATTCCTGGAGTAGGCCGCGTGGTCACCATTGCAGTTGACGCAATGGGGCTGTAGCTCACAGGTTGTATCAGCATGGCCACTGCTGGAGCAGCGGGCACAGATGGGCTTGCTTCGACAAGATGCCTTCGAATGTCCAAACCTTTGACATTGGAAGCAGTGCCGTTCCTAGCGGGTATGCAGCGAATGCCCCGCCAAATTCAACTATTCGAAAAGAATCAAATTATAGCAAATTATTAAAAATCAAATTATTGAAAATCAAATTATAGCAAAGCTGTAAACTTTGATTACAGGAAGAAACAGTAAACTAANTCGACAAGATGCCTTTGAATGTCCAAACCTTTGACATTGGAAGCATCTCAAAGGGTTTGGCACATATGGTCTAACCGGGCAGTTATACCAGGCAAGCTTGACGGCAGATGGTAAGTTTGGAGTAGCAAAGGTAAGAATGAGATGTTTTGTCGGGATAAGTTGACCATCTCGACGAATCTTTATTCTTCGATCAGCAATAACGTGTTGGTCACGCAATTCCTCTACAATATTTTCTTCGGTATCATTGATAAATTCGGACTGTGATATAACGCCTCGTGAGGTGTTTAAAGTTTTATGAGGAGTAACATTAACAGAGAACGAGCATATGTTTGTACAAGTAGACAGAGTAGTAGCTTGTTTCTCGGACGAGGCTTGAACTAACAAGTCACCTGAACGTAATTTTTTAACCGAGGCTACTTCTCCTAGAAGAGAAAGAAGAGCCTTATGTATCAAAAATGGAGAAACTTTGCTAAATGACGTATTAGGTACTGTGGGATTTGTCAAAGATATCAAGAAATACTGAGCGTGTTCAAATGGTACTAAAGGTGTTCCACTGTTTTTGTATTGGTGTGCGGAAAGGACCACCACTTCATTTTCAGCCATAGAAAATCAAATCAACTTTCAGCTACCAGCCGCACCACCCACCACAACTAAGGGGATGCAAATAACAAATTAGTGCTACCACAAATCCGTTATTTAACATCGATGCTAACCAACAGTTATACGCCCGAAAGTCACCACTTAAGCAGCCCCCACCCTTAACGAGTTGCCCAGTAAGTGAGCTCGAGCTTGACCTTAGCCAACAGATGACGTTTGTGACTAGCCGATTGGTGCACACAGGCCAATGTGCGCCTCCCGTTTACCTGAAGCACGGGCCAAAGCAGTGTATTTGGGTACCAAGATGCCCCTCAACTGCCAGGATCCCCTTTCCCAGGGACACGGGTCTCCACGCACGGCAAACACGTTCGATATGTTACAAACTGCAGATTTGGATAGTTTATATTCCCTGCAAATATCAGCTTGATTGCATCAATTTTCAATTTTTCTGATTAGGCCCATATTATCATCAATGGAGAACGTTTTACGTTTACTGCTCGCCATAGTTAAATTTGAGACACTTGTTTGCAGGATTTTTTAAACTGAAATGAGAGCAAAAAGGAGTTGAAATGAGGGTCTTATCAGCACATATTAGTGTCCAACCCTTTGACCAATAATGAATAATTGCTCATTCCCTGACAGAAAATGCATATTGATCCGACTGACGCCTTACAGGGGCATCGTCTGCCTGGGTTGGAAACATCTGCTTTGTTTGTTTAGGGATGGGAAAGTGAGATAAAAGAAGCAAACAAGAAAAAATGCTTATCGCTACATTCCCCTCTATAGATGGCTTTGAAAATCGGTATACATATATATTTTTTTTAAAGTAGAAATTTCAAAATTATTACAAAAAAGACCAGTTGAAGACAGAAAAAAGTTCATTATATCCAACTTCCTCACTTTTTTGGTTCACCGAACATTTCGTTCACTATATCCGGGAGTTCACTATAGACCGTGTTCACTATAGCGGGGTTTGACTGTAT